TTACCTTGTTAACATTGATTGCTCTTTAGAAGCGAGTTACTAATAAATCGTGTGTTGCTTGCTTGGCCTATTGGTGGACTAAACGCGTGTCATCGTGTGATATCTGTATTTAACTACTGATTCCTCGTTATGGTGGAAGTCAAGGCTGACGAGTGAGTTTTTAAGATCGAGTTCTTAGCTTATCAGTTCAGAGTTCGGGTAATTGATTGATTTATCCTCTGATCCCACCAATTTCAAACGCGTGGCAGACAGTTTCTTAGCCGCAACGTCAGTTTCGCAATTTTGGTCACTGACAATTTGGGCACAAACTTCATATCGAGTTTGTACATAATGTCAGCTAGATCCCATCTTATAAACGCCGGGTCACTCTGTCCACCAATAAATTAGGTTCACTTTTGCAACGGTATCAAATCGAAAGGTTCGAGTGTTCGAGTGGCAGAAGATCAGTCCTCTATTGATTACCAAGACCATCATAGGCGCATAGAAGAGGCTATAGGAGCAATTCAAACTTGCACAGCTCACATTGAAAGTCTCTTGAGTAATTACGCCGCTACATTAGATTCGCTTCAAGAACCCACCCAAAAGGAGTTTGAAGTCTATGACGAGTATGCAGCAAAAGCGGACGAGAGACTTTCGGAAGCTCTTGACTACCTTGTACTTCTAGAAGCTAGGTCGCGTTCGCTGCGCTCGTGTACTAATAATCAACCAATTCAAAATACATCTATATCACAAAATCAATGGAATAGTGTACCACGGATTAGGAAAATGGAGCTTCCGAAGTTACCTATTCCCACGTTTCGTGGAAATATTTGGGAGTGGGATAACTTTTGGTCATTGTTTGATGCAAATATCCATTCCCAACCACTGCCTGAGCTATACAAATTCAACTATTTGTTGAATGCGCTTAAGGTGTGAAGCCCTTTCAGCTGCTAAAAGTTCCAAGTGTCGTCTGAAAACTATTCTAAGGCAATTCCTAAAATCTAAGTATGGCAATTCAGAAGAATTGGTG